AGTTTCCCTAACAATCTCTTATATATGAGATTACCGGTGTAATAAATTTGTCTTTTTTTTCAGTAATAATCCTTTCGAACCATTATGACAACGATTTTTATTTGGTTTCATTACTTTCTGATATCACAATTTTATAAGCCTCGATAGTTAATTTCTAAGATTTCTCATGTTTTTACCAGAGCACTATTGACAATATTCCTAAAAATATTTGTTCATTTGTTTCATTAATTCTACTTTGATTTCTTTATCTCTGTTCTCTCATTAGACAACGTAAAATTAGATTAATTGTTAAGAGACCTCTAAACATTTTTATTAACTAATAAAAACCTATCCTCCTATTGGACATGAATTCGTCAACTATTCTTATTATGGAAGTTGTTTGGCCTTGTTTTCGCAACTTGATCGTTATTATGATTCTCATTTTTCCTTATTTATTCTATATTAATTTTAGGATTGAGAGCTTATGAGAATACAGATTCCTTATTTTATTCTTCTCGTCAAAACAGACTTCATTTACATCTAGGCGGTTTTAATTAGAATCACGTTAGCTATTAGCTATCCGTATTTACTATTCGAATCCATAAAAAGTGTATTGATAAAATTTGTAGTTTCACCTAAAATATCCTGCCAGAATATCGTTTTGTTTGTTATAAGCTACTTCCACTTCGAGTGAAGGTTTTTGGTAAAGAGATTCGAAGGTCAATTCCACCAGAAGATGACAATGGATTCCTCCTGACCAGCTGTCGATTGGCTTTACTGGAACATTCATGCTGACGCTGTTTCTGGGGTAATCTCTTTCGATTCCAGTGAAAAGGTTCTTATCTTTCGTCCGTCATAGGACGAGCATCATCAGAGCAAAGTAGAATCGTCACAATCAAATTCTAGCTAACGAGTTTTTTTGACAATAGATTCCTCGAAACCCAACTTTTCTTCGCATGTAATAAGATATACTATTTTTAGAATGGTGTCAAGATGAACCTACAATGCCTACCCTTTCTCTATCCATTTCTTTGTCCATCGCTATTCTTTTACTGGACTATTCCTTTACATTTGTTTTGTCTTGCCTGAAGAGAATTGGTTATATCTGTGATTCCTCTTTGTCAAGGGACTGCTTCTATTGGTTTTGGGGCTGCGATCATCGAATATTGTCTTAATGTATTTCGTACACAAAACCAAGTGTTTGTTTTGCTCCGTCGGGTTGAAGGTTTCTACTTCGTTAAGATTTTTTGCACTAGTATATATACCTTTATAAACCCCACAATTGACTTTTCTAAATTATCCAGTGAAATTCTAACCTGCTAGAGCTTATTTGCTGCTGCATTACTCATCCACCTCGTGTTGATATTTGTGTTTACTTCCGGCCTGCGCTTGAATGGACTCTTTTCTACTCCACTCTTGATTAATCTTATTGCTTTATTTACATTTATTCTTGAAAATTCACGTGTATTTATTCCACAAGTACTTATTATTTGTGATTTTTTGCGTAATGTCTTTTATGAAAACTTTTCGTCAGTTCAACCTTTTTCAATTCTCATTAATGTCCCTCAGATCTTAGATTCTCTATTTTTCATATTCTTCCTTTTGATAAAATTGACTCTATAAACTCAGCCAAGACGTAGAGTTCTCATCTATCCTTTTTTCTTCATTAGTTTTGGTTGAAAATAACCTGCTATGAATCCTATTTTCTTTTTTCTCTTTCTCAACATGCTCTTCTGACCCAGGTGATCCACAATCCATAATCTGTGTACATTGTACAGACTACAGGCAATTTCCTACTCTAGGATACAAATTTTATGAGTTGAGGTCTTTTGGCATTGTATAAATCTTTAGAATTCATATTCATTTTTCATAGACTCAGCCAAAAATTGGATGGACATGTGATTTTTTGGATGGTATAATTTTTAGCTTTTTTTGTTATAAGCTATCCTTATGTTTCACTCACTTTTATACACTAGTTTACGTTAAAGTAAACGCTAACTGTTGCTATCCTCTGTCTTATCATAGCCCTATTATTAATCGTATTTATAGGATGTATATTGTTTTTGAGGTTTCTGTATGACCTCATGATTCCTCTATCCAATCAGCATCTATCAAGCTTGAAAGACTTATAAATATTAATACAGCAAGTTTCATTTCCAGCTTGCAGTTTGAAAAGTTTGAATATAAGTCAGTGTTTAGTTTCCACACTTGAGGAATATTCATCTTTTATCACCATCATATCTAAACGGGGCGATTTGTTGCCTACCTTTCTTTCAATGACAATTCAGTCTGGCCTGGCCTGGCCTCCAAGCACCTCTGTTGTGGGCCCTTGCTATAAAGTATTCATCTTTATTCTATCTAAGAAAACCTAATCTCTATAAAGCTCTAAATGAGGACAGTTTTCTTTTGTTGCTCCACACGAGCATCTGCAAATCTGAGACCTGATGGTGTAGTTACGAGGACCTTGAATATCGCGCACGAATGCAGTCCATTGACGGATTGATAATTATCAACGAAGAAGCTGCGCAAAGTGACAGATTCTACTATCCCCAATACTACGTATAAAGAAGTAGCCCTTCGGTAAAGCTTGTATTTAGACCCGAAGAAGGAGCCAATGGTACCACTCCTACCACTCCTACTTCCCACCAACCTTCGTTTCATCCTCCGCTATTTACATATCAAACTCTCCTTCATGTTCGGTTATCGTCTTTTTTATTTTCCTATCCTGTTTTCTAATTGCACAGTTCAGTAAACACAGCTAATCGTTTCTCTTTCATTAATTTTCCTTTATCATTTTCCCATCTAACACCTCTTCGACTCGTTTCTCCTTCATCTCTTTTAAGGCCAACATGATGATGCTCGTATGTGCCTCAGCTTAGCGCTCACAGCATGTCGGTACGGTGCAAGCTTAGCCAACTACTTGGAGGTCGTCGAAATATATCACGGGCCACCTCATCCTCCGAAAGTGTCCATCGGTGGCTCGCTCTCTTCTAAACAACAAAATATTGAAGAAACGCAGTTTATGAAGGGCCAACCAAAGTCGACCTTTGAGGCAGTCGAAGGTGAGCCACCTCAAGTCGTTTGTGGGGCGCTTATGCGTGACCGACTGACTGGCCGCGAATTCTTGGTCAAGGCGCGCTGCGTGATCAATGCAACCGGACCGTATACTGACCTTATTCGCCAATTGGACCACCCTTCGGCCAAAAAGATTTGTCAGCCTAGCTTGGGTGTACACATCACCTTACCGGGATACTACAGGTGAGCGGCGATGTGAGTTGGCTATATAGGAGTCACAGAAATTACAGCTCTTTTTATTATCCCAAGACCCGCTCTAGGCCACTCTGGGATCTCTAATCTGTAACTTCCAGAATATTAATATG